CTACTCATATTGGAGTCATCATCTATCGTAGTATTTTAATTACGTACACTAATTGGCAACAAGTTCTTAATGATCTAAAGGATGATATATGGCAGTCGATTATGGCATGTTTACTCAACTATTTCTTCAAATTTGTTAAATGATCATTTAATTAAAATTCAATGTGTTCATACTAATGATGCTAAATAATTTAGGAACAGTTTGATATCCTAATTAACTATAAAAAGATTGTGTTACAATCTACTGGGAAAGTATTTAGAGACTTTAAAACCAAATTGATAATACAATATATTTTACCATTGGCTAATTAAGGTGATGTATTGGTTGTTCCACCTGCATCATATGCAGATGTGATAAGTATTGAAGATTGGATAAATTTTGTTCAATATCAACTTTCAGAAGATTTCTCAGTATGTAAACCCATTACCAAAAATATTGTTTATAAGTTTTTATGCAATATAGCCTTTGATCTTTATATGCAATTGACGTAATTTCTTTCTTTTGTAGAAAATCAAAGAAAACCAATGAAACATTTAGGCCAAACAATAATATCACCATCGGATAGCGAGAAAGGGATATGCAAATTAAAGTATGAGCTTGTATGTATTTGCACACTTATTTTATACTCATTAATGAATATTTATGAACATTCATTTCATACATTATGATTTTTTATTGTGGTAATTTAATAGGAATCAACGAGCTCTGGCACCAAAGTTTTCAAATGAGATGTTTGCAAACAATGACGTCTACGGAAGGATGGATCCTTCATAGATGAAATAATCAAAGAAATGACAAAAAAGATTGTATGTATAACTACTTTTTTAATATAATGTATGATTGGCATTGTGGCTATATGTATGATTATTTTCTAGCATGTATAGATTTGTTGTTATAGCCCATCTTTTTATTGTCTTTCAAGATGATTATGCTGTCAAAGTCAAATGTGGTGAACTGATAACCTAATATGGCAAAGATCTTTTGTCTTTAGCATTAGGCACTAAAAAAAGGCCTGATCAGGTTCGTAGGGTTAGTAAATTTGTCTTGCTATCAAAATTTTTTAGTAATCAGCACAAAACCCCATGAATGAAAAATGTACAATATGAAGCAATCATTGACCAAGAACAACAACAACAACAACAAATTGATGACTAGTAGCAACGTCTTAATGACCAACAATAAAGAATCGCTGCTTTAAAGGCTATGTTGGTAGCAATACAGCATAACAAGTCAGAAAGTGAACCCAACCTTTGCTACCACCCAAGAAGTATGATTTTGTTTATAAGTTTAATATTAATTTGTTTAATATATTTATTGATTTGGTTTTAATACTTATATTTCATTAAATATTATTGTAAGATGTTGGGACTCACAGTATAACCCTTGCTCAGGCTACCATAGATGAGTTATCCAAATATTCACTGGACCAGTTATCTGGAGGAAGCTTCATAACCATTGAGTCTGAAGGAAGGATTATTTAATAAACCATCACTTTCTTTCATTAGTGTGGAGAAGGTTAAAGAATTTTGTGAAATGGATGAATTATCAGTTGTTGATATTGTTGCTTATATAAAGTTAGGTTACAAATACAAATATGCACATTTAATATGTATTATTCTATATTATAGTGTAATATTAACTAGCAGTGCTGATTGTTATCGTGCAGCTTCCTATATAGATAGCTCAAAGGGAGATAGTTGACTAACATATATAGATTCATTAACCCTAACTTCATAAGTGAGTAGAGTGGCACAATCACTTATCATGCTAATCATGTGACCAAATGCATGAAAAGAGTGGTTAATTATTATTTGCTCCTGTATAATGCACAATACGTTATATTCCAACCTTACCCAAATATGATCTGATATGTAATCTAAGTATATCGTTGTTATTATTTTGTAGTCGATATTAGATGCTTATTGTGATTGACATCAAATTCTTAACGCCCTACTTACTTAATTCAGTTAATCCAACGACGATGCCTAACCTTGATATTCAAACTTTTATAAAAAGGTATTACACTTTATTATATTATATATCTTCTATTTCTTCATAAGTAATTTTATTTATGTATTAAGTAATTTTTTTCTTTTCAATTTAGGGTAATATCTGCATTCAATAAAAAGACAAAGAAACTAAAATGGGTGTCATTATCGGTAAATGTGAAATTTATTCTTTTATGTTGAGTTTATGTAGATAAGTGTTTTCTAAACCCACTCAATTTAATTTTCAAGTACCTCATCAACCCGATAATACTGAATGTGGATATTATGTCCTTCGTTTTATACGAGAGATAGTGTTAGAGGATTTTATTACCACACCATTCAAGGTTAATATAAATTTCATAAACTCATTATATCTTTAAAAAAATAAAAAGATAAATTATGTTATCATTTGTTAACATTTAATTCTAATTTTTTTTAGTGGGAGAATAAAAGAGGTTTCACGAAAGAAGAACTCAATGAAGTTTGTAGAGAATGGTGTGAGTATATATTATCATTAATCAATGTTGATAAGCCTTAAGGTTAGACATTATTGGTTAAATGCAAATATATGAGGAATACATTGTTATAATGTTTTTAACAAACCATGTTGAATGGAAACTTTAAGTTTGTACATTGGGGTATTTATTTAATTTATTGGTATACTTAATATGAATACACTATGTGTACTTAATATATTATTGAATACGATTATTTCAGAAAAGTATATTAATATGGCAACATTATTAGTTTTAATTTCGGATCTGCCGTCAATTTATTGAAATACAACAATGTTTATTATGTAAATTTCAAAATGTAATTCGTAGTATCATATATATAAATCAAATATTTTCTGGACATAAATATATAACTAACTCCAAATATTTTTTTGGGCATAAACCTACAACTAACTTGACATATACAATATCAAAAATATTTTTTAATGGGATTAATAAAGACGTTTTTGGTAAGAAAACGCTATGAATCATCCATAATAAAATGTTATTGAAGGCATTTTTAACCAAAATCACTTTCAATAATCCCACCTAAAAATATATTATGTGGAATATTAAAGTTATTTTGGGAGAAAAACGCCTTTAACAATCCGTACCAAATATTGTATATGGATTATTAAAGTCATTTTTGACAAAAACCACCTTCAATAATTTTTGTTAAAAATTTATTGATTGGATTATTGAAGACGCTTTTACCCAAAAATGCCTTCAAGAATCTGTTTTATATTTTTCCTATGGAATATTAAGGGCAAATAGTAAAATGTTATTGAATGCGTTTTTGAAAAAACTGCCTTCAATAATTTGACCATACAAATTTATGTGTAGAATATTAAAGGCGTTTTAAGCAAAAAATGCTTTCAAGAATTCATTCCAACTTTTATCTATGGATTATTGAAGGTATTTTTGACAAAAATCAACTTTAATAATCCTAATAAAAATTTATTGATTTGATTATAGAAGGCAAGTTCAACCAAAAACGCCTTCAAGAATTAGTTTTATATTTTTTTTATAGATTACTAAGGGCATTTTTATGCCAAAAGCACCTTCAATATTCTCTTCAAAAATTTTTCAAGCAATTGGTGAAGGCATTTTTGTCCAAAAAATGCCTAGAATAATCAATTATAAATAATATCTGAAAAACCAAAAAAGGCTAAAGGAAAGGATCGAACCTACCACATTATGGTTACTATCCGTACGATTTTACAATTTTTATATCATATTTATTGAAAGCATTTTTTCATCAAAAACACCTTTAATAAGTTGGTGAAATTTTTTGGTGGAATTATTAAAGGCATTTCTTGTAGAAAATACCTTTAATAATCGCATATATTTTTTTATAAAGGGGTTATTAAAGGCTTTGTCTACCAAAAATGCCTTTAGTATTTACTCAAAATTTTAAGACAAGATTATTTAAGGTGTTTTTATTAACAAATACTGCTAATATCAAGTCTTGGGTGGCATTTATAAGTAACAACATCACTATTTGAATGTTTAGTAGTGTTTTGATAATAAACGCATTAATATTTATAAAAACATAGAAGCTAGCGGCGTTTGTAAGTGAAATGCCACTACAAACTACTATTAATCTTCCATTTTCTTGTAGTGATTGCATTTACATGAAAATACATATCCCATTAATTATTTCAATTTCGTCATTATAGTAATTAATTTTATCACCATTGCTATTTTAAATCTAATGAAAATTAATCTCACCTTTTATTTAGACCTTCAGCTATAAATTTAGCCTACCTATTGCTTATACAAATTATATATATGTATATAAATATATATTCATAATTACACTAGTGTAACTCTTATACTTTTTAGATTTTTGGATCAAAATTAAATTTGTAATTTATTTAAATCAAAATAATATTTTTTAAATTCAGTAATTTTGATCGAAGGGTCCAAAAAAGTATAAAAAGTTATACCAGTATAAATGGATATCTCCTTATTTATATCTATGAGTAGATATCCACTTATATAGTATAATACTTTTTTAAATTTTATACAGTTTTGCAATTCTTGATTTTAATAGATCTAAAAATGATAACAATAAGTAAAAATAAGAAAAATAATTTATTCTTATCCCTTAGATATGTTAAAATCAATAATTAAAAAAATGCAAAACTAAAAAAGTTTTATATTATGTAAGTTGATCATATATATATATATATGAATTAGTATTTGATACACTATTAGTGTAAAATTGTGATTATACAAGCGAAGTTAAAGAGATGAAATATATCTTTTAAGATATATTTTGAAAAAGTAAAAATTTAATTAAAAAATGAGACATATGTCACCCTCTTAATCTCATTTATATAATTAAAATTTTACCATGATAATGTATCAAAATACTGTCTCTCTACATATATATATATATGTATATATACACTCCACTTTACCACTCTTTCACTTTCAGTTTTTTCTTCTTTTTAGGTCGCCTGGTTTATAAGGCAACTGCATTATAAATTGGCTTCCGTCCTGGTTCATATGTTTATCAATTTTCTGTAACTTGTTGATCTTTCCACCAAAAATGGCTTCGTCGTACACAATGAATATTGTTGATAACATCCATGTCTCCGCCCCGGCTGGGTCAGTTCCCACAACAACTCTTCCTCTCACTTATTTTGACATCCCATGGTTTCATTCGGCTCCCATGCAGAGCCTTTTCTTCTACGAATACCTTCACCCTACCTCTCATTTCATGCAAACCACGCTCCCAATTTTCAAACACTCTCTTTCCCTAACTCTTCAACATTTTTTCCCACTTGCAGCGAAACTCATGTGCCCTCCACCGCCACTCAAGCCTTATATCCTTTACACAGACGGCGATTCTGTTCCTCTTATCATTGCCGAATCCACCGCTGATGTCAACCATCTCAAAGCCAATTATCCACGAGATATCAAATTGCTACACCCCTTTGTTTCCCAATTGCCACCATCGACTATAACATCAGATGGCATACGGGTGCTACCCATCATGGCCTTCAAGGTCACAGTGTTTCCAAACACTGGCATTTGCATTGGGATGGCGCATAATCATGTAGCAGCTGATGGATCCGCATTCATGCACTTCGTGAGATCTTGGTCATCCGTGTGTAAGTCAAAAGGAGACTTGACATTCCTCGATGACGTATCGCGACGACCTTTTCATAACAGGGATGCGATCAAAGACCCTGCTGGGTGCAACGACGTGGCCCTAAAAGGCTACTGGCATTGGGTTTCATCTTGGAGAGAGAACCTTGGCCCAACCAAGGAAATGTCGGTAGACAGAGTTCGAGCCACATTTGTACTGACCCGAGATCAAATCCTGAAACTCAAGCAGTGGCTCGGGATTCAATGCAAGAACAACAGCAATAATTTCGAAGAACTGCAGATATCAGCATTTGTGGTCACCTGCTCTATCATGTGGATATGTATGATCAAGTCGCAAGAGAATGAACTAGGAGCAAATAGTTATGATGTTGATGATAAGTTTTACTACTTCCTTTTTGCGGTCGATTGCCGAGGCCGTATTGAATTTCCTCTGCCTGTGACATATTTTGGAAACTGTCTAGCGCCCGGTATCATACGAGCCAAGAAGGGTGAGCTGATGGGGGTAAACGGGATAGTTGCAGCCGCGAAAGCAATTGCAAAAAAAGTTAAAGAGATGGAGATTGGAGCCCTGAAAGAAGTAGAAAAAGGACCGTCAAACCTTGAAGAAATGTTTAGATCGGGGCATCAATATCATGTTGGGATTTCTGGTTCACCAAAATTACGTTTATATGATATGGATTATGGGTGGGGGAGGCCTATAAAGATTGAGTTTATTCACATTGACGATGGTGGATCTTTGTCCCTTGCCGAGTCTAGAGACGAACCAGGTGGCATGGAAGTTTCCTTGGTTCTTAGAGAGAATCAAATGGATGCATTCACTGCAGCTTTTGCAGAAAGCTTAAAGGTTTTTTAATTAAGAATTCAAGCCATCTCTTGTCTTCGGGTCTTCCATATGTTTTCAAGCTGAACATCAGCTAGCAGATCATGCACCTACGATATCACCGTCCTTAGAGCCAAAACTCTTGATTACTTGTAGCTATAATTTACACTTTCTGAGGGAGGAAATACCTTTTCAGAGAGATGTCAAGTTACTATTACTATGTACGATCATATCGAATTCCATCTGTTGTTGAAGTTTTAGTAGCACTCTTTTTTTTGTTTTTTTTTTGGGGGGGGCGTGGGGGGGGGGGGGGGGGGGGTGGTTGAATCCAACTCACTTAATAAAGTTAGGTCAAAGGCATTTTCTTTCAAGAAATTAGGTGCGTGAAGTCTATCCATTATTGATTGTCCATATTATTATCACCTTTTGTTTATTAAGTTACAGTGATTCTTCAGCTGCTCATAAAACATTTTTATTTGCCTTGTTCATCGTTAACTAAGATTGCAAGCTTTGGTCAAGATTTTTTTAGGCATAGGTATGACCCAATGAATATTTATTTTTTATTTAATTTAATTCAAAAATATATTTTAAAATATTAGAAAATAATTTTTAATATTTTAATAATATTTATAATTTAAATAAACAAGCCTAGACAAGTTGATTTTTGGTTTAGAATTTATAGATGTCAACTAGATTTGGCTGGACTTAGCTCATGAATACCTTTCTATTCATTATTAGTGTCTTTTGATTTGTTTAATTCTTATTAATTGTTGTAAAAAGAGTCCTCAACTCCTTTTTGTAATTCCATTGTTGTCAATAGGGGTTTATTAGATCTTACTTATACAGATAATTGGACGGACACCTGCCAAAGTTTCTTAAATCGATGGATTTATGTATTGCGTTGCTTTCATAATAACTTCTTCTTTGTTGGCCAAAAAACCAATTGATCTAACCCAAGCAACAGAAGCAAAACCAAATAACAAATCATCAACAAATGATAATAATTTACGGATTTATTATTAACATAAAAGTTAAAAAGTAGATAAAAAATAAATTAAAAAAAAATTCAAGTATTTTAAAGTCTAAATGAAAGAATGAAATAAATAAACGAGCAGCTATTTTAAAGTGAAAAATAGGCACAGTAAAAATTTTAAAATTAACGATCACCTTTCTGAAGAAAAGTAAAAGATTTTTATATCCTTAAAAATACATATCATTTTTTTTTTCTTTAACCTTTTAGTAATTTTCCTATTTGAGTTAGTGTCACCAAACTCTTTCAAGAATTTTATAATAGTATAGATTTCATTAGGCACACCAGATCCCACGGGGATAATTACTGTTTTAATCTTGAATATTTATGTGTTTTTTAAAATTGAATACAAATTCAGTATTAAACTTAATTATGAATAAGATACAAATTTATCACTTTACTTGTATGATTGATATAAATTTACAATTAATCTTTGAATTAGTGTAATTTTATTGTCGTACTCCTAATTTTAAAACAAATTTACCATTTAACTTCTAATTTTGGAACAAATTTGATTAAAATGTAACAGTTGAAAATATTAGAAAAATATTTCGTTAGTTAAAATTTAGAAAACACTTTTAAAATTATAATTTCTTCATTAGAAGCTATTTTAAAATTCAAAAATACATTTAAAATTATATATATTTATAATTCTATCACCATACTTCAAATGTTAAAGCAAAATGATCATTAAATTTTTATTTTGTATAAAAATGTCATGACTTGACATTATATTTAGTAAAAAAAATGATTAAAAAATATATAAAACATAAATTTTGAATTTTAATTTCATCACTAATTTTCCCTTACCATGTCAGTTTCAATTTTTTTTCATAATTATAAATCAATTTTCAACAAAAATATTTTATAAAATATTTATATTATGTTGCATCTTAGATTAGATTTTGTCAAATTAGAAATATGATGCCATATTTGTTTCAAAACTAAAATGTAATGTTAAAACCGCAACAGTTAAAAAATTAATAATAAATTTATACTATTCACATACGTAAATTAATAAATTTGCATCTTATCCTATTAAATTTAAGATTGAATACAAGTTAATTCATAGTTTTTTCTTTTATTTTCTAAAGCCTTTTCTTTTTCAATGTTTGTGTCGAGTTCCGAGTTGACAGTCAAATTTTGTGTCATAACATATAAATCCGTAAATCTATAGCTAGACTTAACAAATGAAGGAATCGTCATCAATATTTTTTATTTAGGTGTGATTGGTTACCTAAGGAATCTATCATCTTAAAGAACTTTTAAGTTTGACTAAGGGTCATTAAAAGAATAGGTTCGGATCTGCTAACCAGAATAAGGTTTGGGAGTTCAATTACATGTGAGAAAGGTTATAGCACCCTCACATGCCCATCCGAATGATGGTACCATATTATTTTAAATTTATCATAAGGTTTTGATTCTAATAGTTTCCAATTTTATGTTAAATATTGAAAATATTTTATAAAGATCCCTCCATCGATCTGGTAGAATTCTTAAAAATATTTTCTCACCTAAAGAGTATTCAAGAATCTCATTTAACTTTTTGAAGAGGTTTCATCATTGGAAAGATTATTTTTTGTTAGTTTTATTTTTGGCAAAAATATATCTAATTATTTTATCATTTGAGCCAAATTAGAAATATCTTCACTTTTTGAATTTCTAAAATTTCCACCATTTGGGTCAATTTAGAAATATATTTTTTGGAATTTCTAAATTTTTCATCATTTCGGCCTATTTAAAAATTCTTTTTATTTTACCTTTTTTTTTATGTTGGAAAGAAAATAATATGAAAATTATTTTTATTGAAACTTCATCCAAATTATTCCATAATTTGAAACAAATTTAGATAAAATTTTCCACCTAAAGATTTCTTAGGAATTTACCATTTGAAATTTCTAAGATTCTTATCCTTGGATAATTATCAAATATTTTTCACCAAACTTTTATTTGGAAAAAAAATACAATTACTCTTATTGAAATTTCGTCTAAATTATTTCACCATTTGGGATAAATTTAGAGAAAATTTCTCACCAAGAGATTTCTTAAGAATTTACCATTTGAAATTTCTAAGAATCTCATCATTGGGTAATTTGTATTTAATTCCAAAATTTTTATATTTTATGTTTTTTATATTTTCCTTGGCTTTTATATTTTTGTTTGAAAATAACTATTAATTATTGTTATTAAAATTTTATCTAAATTATTTCACAATTTGGGACAAATTTATATAAAATTTCTCACCTAAGAATTTTATAGAAATTCACTATTTAAAATTTCTATAAATTTCATCATTAAGTAATTAATATTTATTCTCAAAATTTATTATTTAATTAAATCATGCAAAAATACTAAAATAAATAAATAAATAAAATACCAAAGAACTACTCGGCTTGTGGTTGGAGCAGCTCGGCTTAAGGCACAAAGATCGACTCAGAGGTGCGGCTTAGCGATTGAGTTTGAGGTTCGGCTTGGCTGCAACCAAAGGCAGGGACAGGGGTTAGCAAACTCGGGTTGGCATTTGGGTCGAGTTACCCGCTGGCAAAATATATGGATCCTGGATTTATTAAGTCTCAAAACGACGTCGTTTTAGCATGATATATAAGGCTAAATCTCAACTTTTTTTCAGCAGATCCCCCTTCTTCCCTCTCTCTCTTCTCCCTCTTTTCTTTCTTCCTCTCTCTAGAAATTTAGAATCCGATTGAATGTTTTACCAAAAACTTGAAAAAGCTATCGAAAATTGAAAAAACAGGCAAAAAAATATGAATTTCGTCAAAAAATTCACTGTAATCTGGATTTTTCTAGAAAATTCCCACAAAAAATAATTGCCAAAAATTTCAAAAAATTCCTAAAAAATTTTAGAATTGACTATACTTCTCTAAACACCCTTTTTTTTTTTTTTTTGCTTTTGTTTTCTTTATATTTTGTATGACTTTTTGTTCTATTCAAGCGTATATTTTTATAGGCATTGATTAGAAGAGTTTCTGATCAATGTTGATTACTTTTTGGACTAGGATTCAGATATCAATCTTGATCCAGTCTAAATATACTTCAATTCAGGTTAATCTTTCTCTTTTTTTTTAATTTAATCTCCTAAAAATAATATTAAAATAAAATTCAAAATAACAAATAAATCATTAAAGAAATAAAGGGTCTAATACCCATTTGACCAGGCTCATTTTGAATCAGGTCTGACAAATTGAATCTACACTCCCTTTTACGCATTTTAATATAAAGTATTACGCAAAGATGTAGATCTGATGTACATCTCACATATTCGTATTTTTTTTGAAAAGTAAAAAGCTCAATTAATCAGAGGCCACGACTTTAAAAATAAAATGCATCCTCTAACGAGGTACATAACTTTTGGAAAAAACCATTGCTCATTTAGAATAAGGCAACTAAATTTGGCATAAATGCCAAAAGAGGTAACGCAACTTTTGGAAAAATAAATTACTCTTCTAAATAGAGGTACCACAACTTTGAAAAATAAATTGTTCCTCTAAACAGACGCACCACAACTTTTGAAAAAATAAATTGCTCCTCTAAACAGAGGTATCATAACTTTGGAAAAATAAATTGCTCCTCTAAACAGAAGCACAACAACTTTTGGAAAACTAAATTGATCCTCTAAATAGAGGCACCACAACTTTTGAAAAAATAAATTGTTGCTCTAAAGAGAGGCACCACAACTTTTAGAAAATTAAATTGCTCCTCTAAAGAGAGGCACCATAACTTTTGGAAAAATAAATTGCTCCTCTAAACAGATGCACTACAACTTTGGAAAAATAAATTGCTCTTCGACAATCATGTTCAGAGGAGTCGTAAATCATGTTTGAAGAAATTTTAAGAGATTATGCCCAAGAGTCTTACAAATCAGTCCTAATATTGAAAAACATCCTTTTCTCAAACGAGAATTTGAAACTCTTTCATCAAGAAGTCTTCACATCTGTCTTCTCCATGTGGGATCTTGGCATATCCCTGCTTCTTAACTTCATGCACTAGACCTTCTCAAATGCAATATATGCTATGCACTAGTTATGCAATGCATGATATGCAAATGCTGGTTAATTAATTCTCATTTAATTATGGTACTCAAGTTTCTCAAGCTTTTTCTTAGGCCTAAACCCCTCAATCTTCAAGTACTAAGACCAAATCAATGTAACTTTCAATCATTTCTCTTGTTTAATTCTCATATTCTCTTTTTAAAGAAATTTTTTTTCAAATTCAA